ACACTTGCCTTGCAATGAGAGAAGATGGAATAAACCAATCAATTAGAAATCTGCAGTGAGAAGGTTTGCCCACATACCTACAATCCTCGCAATTGCCAAGAGAGTGTCTTCGTTGTCCATCGCCGCTTGGATATCGATCAATCGTTCTGATTCCTCCTGTATGCAATTATTCGCTCTCTCATTGAAGTGTTGTAGTGTTATTGTCCAGAATTCAAAGTCATCCCCTTCTACTATGTCTTGAATAATGCGATGAGCACCTAGTCTATCTATCGCATTCTCCAACTTTAGATGGGGAGAGAGAGATTCTCATTCATATGTAGATTCTCCAATCTCTCAATAAATCCACTAAAAAAATGCTTGCCTCAAGTCAGGAAAGTCGATGGGGTTCATTGTGAACGATCAGTGGTGGTGGCCTGTCAGCAGCAGTGATACTAGGAACGATAGAATATTACCCATTGACGACAAGAAGCACGGGCATGAGAGCTAACTGAACAAAGAGATAGCAGGGGAACTGAGGGTGGGGATCAGGAACTGAGATGGGGCAAGGGAAGAGAGAAATTGAGAGGGAGAGCAGGGGAACTGAGTTACTATGGGGGCTAGAGCAGGAACTGAGAGGGAAAGAGTTTGGGGCGAGTGAAGAGAGAAATTGAGAGGGAGAGTAGAGAAAGATACATCATTATGTAATAACAATATATAATGGTGAAGTTAGAAACCAAAGGCGAAGACATCTTTACCTATATGTAAAATCGTCTATGGCGACCTGTTGACAGCAATCATACCACGAACGAGAGGACATTACCCATCAACGAGAAGCAAGGGCGAAGGCGAGAAGAGGGGTGGGGGGGGGGGGGGGGGTGAGGGCTGACGGAACAAAGAGAGAGAAATGGGGAATCGAGAGGGAGAGACCTTGGGACGAGGGAAGCGAGAAACTATGAGGGAGAGTTGGGGAAGATACAACATCATATAATAATGATGATAATAATAATAGTAGTAGTAGTTGTAGATTAATCCCTGAAGAATATTTTATTTTATTAAATAATAATAATATTATTAAAGATTAATTCCTAAGAATATGTTATTTTAGTATTACTTTTTTTAGTATGTATTTGACTGATCTGCTTAGATATTAGTTTGTATTTATGTAATTTGTGAGCTTTTTTTTAAGATAGAAGAGCACACAAAAACGTAATTCATGAAAAAAATTTTTGGTTATTGTTCAGAAAATAACCATATATATCCATGATGGATAATAATCTACAAAAGTGCAAAGCTAAAATAAAGTCTTGATAACTAACAACTCTTATTAGTTGTGTGCAAAATCATCTAGCTATTAATGCATCCATGCGTAAACAATATCCATTATCGTACTGCAGTGTACCGCTCGGTATGGGCGGTACATATTGGTTCAATAGGAGACCGGTATGGGCAGTATTTTGATATGTTCTCATGTACCATATGTCGGTATGCTCGGTACGGTTTGGTATAACTCAGTATGTACCAACTGTCGATACATCGGTATGGACCAGTAAGGTGAACCAATTCTATTCTACTTTGCATCTTAATTTTTGTGCCTCTTTCCTTGACCAAGAGATGGTAGACGATCTCTTAATTTTATATTTACTGATATTCTTTCACTAAATTATTAGTCTTGAGTATAATTTTATTTTCAAATGAGTAATCCTAATGATTGAATATTAATAACATCCAATTAGTCTTAATAGCCAAAGTAGAGATTGTGAAACCAGCCAGTCTTTGTTAGGTATAGTGATTCTCTGGCCAGTTAAGTGAGAAAAGCAGGATCTACAAAAAGTAAACAACATTCCAGGAAATCCTTTTTTAAAGATAGAATGCTTGAATGACCATTTAATCATGGTTGTCACTCAGGATATTTGTGCATTCCTTTTTGACAAGTTCCTTCTTTATGTTAGAACATTAATATTCTATTAGAAAGACTGAAGGTTAATTTATTGGTGTTTGGATGGAATAATTTGCAGTCTAACGAGTTTGTTATTGGATAGATGTGGGAAAAAGTAAAATACACGAATAGATAACTGGTCCTATTAATCTTTATTATGATTATCAAATAAGTTGGTGGCTTATAAGCAGACAACAAGTTTAGAACCTTTATAAATAATTCCAAATGGCCTTTGGTTGACATCTCTTAATCTTATGTCTAAGGAGGCAACAACTTTATGAATCTTGGCAAGTTTTTCCATTTAAATGCCAATTTGTTAGTGAATCTAATGTGACTCATTAATCTTAGGTATGAGACATAGTATTTTAGAACTATCCAATTTTAATAACTATGATGAAGTATCCTACAATTGTTCATTTATTAGGTTATGTGTAGGTATCTTTGAGGAAGTGTCCAACATGTATCAAAGTAGTTCAATATGTATATGATAGTTATTTGGTAAGGATTTTAGAGTGTCCATGTTTTGCAGTTACCATAATCTTATCAAACACAATAGTTTTTAGAAAAGGAGGCCACAAATAAGTTCCCTCTGTTTCTCGTCTTGAAATGAGAAAATCTCTTTTGGGTAAAAGTGTGCCCATTGCCTCTCACTGTTGTAAAATTCATGGAGATTTTATATGCAGTAGTTTTCTCTTTTCAATACTTTGTCATTTGAAGAATATCATAATTGGCCTCTATCACAGTTGGTCTCTGTACCCAAGGGTTATGCTTTATATGTTTTCTTACTTTTGAAGTATCCTTGCAGCAACCTAATACTCTACAAAACAGTATTTTAGCATCAAGCATTCCACATCTTCGCGATTTCGACCTTCCCTTGTCTCCCTTGCTTACCACCCAAGCAATGCCTACGAGGTATAGCACGACAGTGTCATCCATTAGCGGACCAACCATTTCCACACCTGAGGTATTTATTAGCACCTTAAATTTTTAGTCAATATATTTGCTGTTTGCATGTAGCTACTTGGATTTTGGTCTATGACACAGTGAAGAATCAGTTGGTCATTTATGCCTGCATCATACTTCCACATATCCTGTGTATTCCAATGTTATTTGTTCTTTTTCTTAATTTACTTCATCATGTAGCTGACCTGAAACTTTTTCCCAAAACTTCAAAATAGAACTGATTTAGCCAAGCCTAAGATTGGTCTTTACCTGATTGCAGTTATTTATCAATATTAGAGCCAAAAAACCCATATTGTAGAACACCGACAAGCCATAATATGATTGGTTAGTCATAAATAACTTTTGATCTTAATATTTCTACATTCTAACCAATCTAAACTTGTTGAATGTGGTTGCTACCAAATTAATGTGTGCTGCATTTCTTGATTTATAAACTTCTATAAAAGTTACAAAATATCCTATGAAAGATTTAGGAAATTGATATTATATTGCGCTTTCTGCAGGCTTTGAACCCAGGAGTGTTTTCCAACCCACAATCAACTCCACAATTACCTAGCACTACCATGCTCACGAGTCCTGCACTCCCTCAGCATCTTCCCGTACACCATTACTCTCAGCCTGCTCTTCCATTAGGCCATTTCGCCAATATGATAAGCTACCCATTTCTACCTCATAGCTACACCTACTTGCCTTCCATCCAACAAGCATTCGCCGCAAACAGTCCATTCCATCAATCACCTGCTGCAGTGCCCAGTGTAGGCATGAAGTATTCACAACCACAATTTAAAAGTAGCTTATCTGCGACCAGCTTACCTCAGGCTTCTGCCATAGCCTCTGCTTACGGAGGACTTGGAAGCTCAGCTAACATTCCTGGAGCTTTCATCCTTAACCATACAACCGCATCGGCTAGCACAACGATTGGGTTCGATGAAGCTTTGAGCTTGCAGTACAAAGAAGGAAGTCACTACTTGCCTCTTCAGCAGGTAATTATAATTTGCTTCTTAGATACGGCAATCTTCGATTTTCAAGTATAATTTTCTAAGAATATTTTTGGTCGTCATCACCAGAGTGAGAACCCTGCCATGTGGATTCACGGTGCGGGTTCGAGGACAATGTCGGCACTTCCAGCAAGCACGTTCTACAACTATCCAGGTCAGAATCAGCACAGTGGAATTCGTCCGAGTCAGCAGACATCGCAGCTTGGGGCATTGGGCTACCCAAACTTGTACCACTCACAGGCAGGGCCATCACGGGAACATCAGCAAAATCCAGGGGAAGGGAACTTGAATGGTTCCCAGACACCGTCTCAGCCAGCAAACCAAATCTGGCAACATGGCTACTGAGCCATTGCTGATGACTCCCAGTGTTTTTTATTCCTGGTGTTGAAGGAGCAGCCGCTGCAAGTCTTCATTCCTCGGATCACATATATATACGCTAGTTGGAGCATTCAAGACTGATCAACTACATACATAGCATCGGCTTCTAATCGTATCGCGTGAGGAGGGCCATGTATGGTAGGTTTACCAGTGTGTTTTTAACTTGTAGTAACACTGACATGGCTTTATCGATTTAGACCGTATTTATTCTGATAAAGAGCATTCACCAGAGACCTTCCTGTAACACTTGATCTTAGTTTTAACATAAACGATCACTTGATTTCAAGCGAGCAGATCTGTACTGTGTTTGGAGTAACCGTGTTGATGAGAACTCATGGAAGCGTTAATAATAGTCGTGGTGCCCGTGTGTTCGTAGTTGTTGCATCGCTGTTTATGATATCTTCATGGAATAACTTCAATATGAGCTGCAGTGACATACTTCACCAGCAGCAGATCATTTAAATCTTGCATTCAGCCTCAACTGATACGGAAGTAGGCACACACATGCTACTGACATCGTCAATTCTAAAGGGTTTGGACAAATAGCCAATAAGAACTATGTTGTCGTTTTACTTTAGCCTTCCATGAAATCAAAATTAATCAGGATTTAATCTTTCCATCACAAAAACATCACACCTTATCTTAGTGGACAACGATCGCACACCTGACAATAAACTATATAATTGCAAAAGGCTTTTAGCTTTAACCAAATAACAGCCACCATTTCGATTAAAATTGATAAGGCATGAAGAACTACGAACATGAAATCGAATATATTTCTTGAAGTAAAATTTCTTGGAAGTTTTTCAATCCTGATGTTGACAAGAATAAAAGAGAAGAGCAGAAAACAAAAAAACATCAAAACATGGACAAGCAAAGCGCCCCCTCCCTAATCGAACAAGCTGAAGCCCATATCCTGCAATAACCCAAGCGAAGAGAATTAATGATTGACAAGCAGGAAAAGATGAGTTTTTTTATCTCGATCAAGTGGGATTAAGAGACTCACGTCGTCAGATTCCTCCTTCTCCTCGACCTTCTCTTCCTTTTGCGGCTCCTCCGCGGCCGGGCCGGCGCCCGCACCGCCACCACCGGCGACAGCGACCGAGACGGCGGCCACCCCTCCACCCGAAGGGACGGAGGCGAACTTCTCCCTTCCGGCGGCTATGAGCTCCGTGACGTCCTTCCCCTTTGCCTCCGAGAGGAGGAAATCTATCCTCCCATCATCCACCTCCGCTCCCACTACGAACCAAGAACAGCGATCAGCCCAATGATCGAGAGACCGCGACGAAGATAAGAGAATAGCAGTGGGAGAGAGTTTAACCTGATTCAAGGATGCATTTGATGTCGTCGGCGGAGGGTTGGGTGTTGCCTCCGAGGACGGCGAGCAGATACGCCGCGATCACCTTCATCTCCGCTCTGCAAACGCGCCGCCGCTACCAAACGCCTCGTGGTATGGACGCGAGCGGGCCTTTATAGAACCCTAAAACTTACGTCCGCTGTGACCGCAGAGTATTTTAGCTTAACATGCTCTCTAACTTAAAGCCGTATCATATATCCTCACCGTGCGCTTGTGATGACGTCTTCGGCTGCCTCTGTGAGGCCGCATGACACCTTAAAACGATCCCATTCGCTTAGATCAAACCATCAACGGCTTACATCACAGATAAAATTGAAATATTGTAACACATAAAAGCGATGACAGTACCCATAAATTCTATTATATTTTAATTCAAATATGAGTCTCACATATATTTCCTCTATTTTCAATTAACGAGTATTCCGATAAAATGAGTAGAAAAAGTCCACCCAAAATTTGCCAGATTTGGATTAGCATAAATGTTATTCTATTTCAACTCAAACACGAACCTTATATATATATATATATATATATATATATATATATATATATATATATATATATATATATATATATATATATATATATATATATATATATAG